GCTTTGCCTGATTATGTTGAAATGGCGGGAAAATATGTTGTTGATTCGTGGCGCTGATGAGCAGTAAGTTAGTACAAGGTTCGTTGGGGAAGTCGTTTTAGATACTTTGTTTGGTCCCTTAAGTATATCATTCCTGTTCACGTTGCGAGCACGTAGTATGGCATCGTCAATAATGTCTTCCGGATAATTTTGTTTCAATAAGGAATGCTTTTGGTGTTCCGCGTGTCTGTCAAATTCCCGCATATCGGTGCATATTCTTCGGTACCGGTAGGCCTGAGAATATGGAATACCCGTTTTGCAATGCTCTGGGTGGCTGCTGTTGAAATGTAGGTACATTTGACGGTCTGTAGCCTTTTTGTAAAGGACCTTTTGTAAAGGACCTTTTTGTAAAGCAGCTTTTATATGGTCGAGTTTTCGCTTGTATGCCTTCTGTTTGAAGTTTAAACAAAGTTCGTGTAAACGGAAACAGCGAACACTTGCCACACTGGGCAACAAACCTTTTTGAAGGTACGCGTTGTTTGTGGCTATCGCTGTCGCGCGCGCTCGCTCGTCGTCTCCTGCGCATGCAGGAGATTGTTCTTTCACCATTATGTTCGCCGATCCGATAGTATGTTTTTAACTGTCGGCGAGTCGATTTTCGAAAGCAGTGTTTGCGAATAGCTAATACGCAAAGCTTGGGTGCTTCAAAAGCGCGGGCGTACGCTCACGTCAATTGGCGTAGCACACTACACGCAAGCGTACATTGCATGCGCTAAGTAACACGAAATGTCGCTAGACTGCTCTCATGAAGGTACGTTATCTCAAGTTTCCTGTGCAAAGGTGTCATGTACATTTGTTGCCACTCAGATGAAGCAAGAAGTGGTACGTGCGTAAAAAAAAAAAAACACGCATTTTGCCTTCTTGTCTCTTTTTTTCTTTTTCTTTCTTTTTTCGGTTCTTTTTGGTTTGCTCCAGCGAATGAGACGAAGAAACTGTTCCGCACAGCATATGTCACCACTGTAAAACACCATGAATTTCCCGCTCTCTCCCGTTTCCTTCTTGCACCACCATGTGGATGCGGCATGTTCGCCGCACTTGTTCGCAAACCCTGACGAAGACCGGTCACCTGGTCGAAACCGTTGGTAATAAATTTACGACAACCGCTAAGTTGTGTTTCTTCTCTTCCCAAGTACGTTTGGCCCATTGGAAAAACTTCTTCGGATATATATATATATATATATACATATTACATATATACATATAAAATACTTTTTATTTCTTCAAATAAAACGGTACATGTGACTAGGCCTGCCAAAGCCTATATATATATATTGTGGGCGTATATATATAACTTACGGCCATATGTCCCTAGCAGCTGCGAAGCAACTGACCACGGCGGCGGTCAGATCTGCAACGCAGCAGAGGGTGCTAAGAATCTCTGGATCTGGACAGGCCGCCATTGGAACCTGAACTTGGCAACATTTAACGCTAGAACCTTATCTAGTGAGGGAAGTCTACATGTATTATTCGAGGAGCTAGAGGGTGTTAAATGGGATGTAAAAGGGCTCAGTGAGGTTACGAGGACCGATGAGGCCTATATGGTGCTACAGAATGGGCACGTCCTTTGATATCGGGGCTTGGCTGACAGAAGAGAATTGGGAGTGGGGTTCCTGATTCACAGAAACAGCTGGCAACATAGAGGAATACTATAGCATTAATGAAAGGGTGGTAGGTATCGTAATTAAATTGAATAAAAGATACAAGTTGAAGGTGGTACAGGCTTACGCGTCTACATCCAGCCATGATGACGCTTCAGTTGAAAGCTTCTATGAATACGTGGAATCGGCAATGAGTAAGGTAAAAACACAGTATACTATAGTGATGAGCGACCTTAATGCAAGAGTAGGGAAGAAGCAGGCTGGAGACCAGGCAGTAGGAGATTATGGCATCGGTACTAGAAATGCCAGAGGAGAGCTACTAGTAGAATTCGCAGAACGCAATATTTACGGATTTTGAATAACTTCTACCGAAAACGAGGAAACCGCAAGAAGACATGCAGGAGCCCTAATGGCGAAAATAAGAACGAAATAGACTTAATATTAAGTGCACACCCAGGCATCATGCAGGATGTGGAAGTGCTTGCAGTGACCATAGAATGGTACGGTCTCGAATTCGCCTAAACTTGAAAAAGGAACGACAGAAACTGATACGCAAGAAGCCAATCAATGAGCTAGCACTGAGAGGGAAAGTACAGGAATTCAGAGTCTCGCTTCAGAACAGGTACTCGGCTCTTAGTGAGGAAAGCAACCCTAGCATAGATACAATGAATGATAATCTGACGAGTATCATTAAGGAGTGTGCAGTGGAAGTCTGAGGCAGGGTAATTAGACAGGAGACTGGCAAGCTTTTCCAGGAAATGAATAATCGAATTAAGAAGCATCAAATCATGAAAGTCTCAAGTACAACAGACAAAAAAGAACTGGCAGAACTTTCGAAGTTGATTAATAGGCGTAAGGTATGCGATTTAAGAAGGTATAACATGAAGAGAATTGAACACGTTCTGAAAAACGAAGGAAGCGTCAAAGCAGTGAAGAGGAAACTTGGGATAGGCGAAAATAGGATGTATGCACTAAGAGACAAAGAAGGCAAAATAACTACCAATATGGATAGAATAGTTAAAATAGCGGAGAAGTTTTACAGAGATATGTAAAGCAGTCGGGACAACCACGATTTTAATACTATAAGAACTAGCAGTAGCCCAGATGACACCCCACCAGTAGTGATAGAAGAAACTGGAAAAGCTTTGGAGAGCATTCAAAGAGGCAAAGCTTCTGGTGAGGATCAGGTAACATCAGATCTGCTGAAAGATAGAGGACAGATTGGGTTAGAAAACTAGCCACCCTGTTTACGAGGTGTCTCCTGACAGGAAAAGTACCAGAGTCTTGGAAGAATGCTAACATCGTCTTAATACATAAGAAAGGAGAAGACAAGGACTTGAAGAATTACAGGCCGATAAGCTTGCTCTCTGTAGTATATAAGCTATTTACAAAGGTAATTGCTAACAGAGAAAAGAAAACATTAGAATTCAATCAACCAAAGGAACAAGCAGGATTACGAACAGGCTACTGAACAATAGACCGCGTTCACAATATCAATCACGTAATAGAGAAATGCTCAGAATATAACCAACCATTATACATAGCCTTCGTACATTACGAGAAGGCGTTTGATTCAGTAGAAGTATCAGCCGTCATGCAGACACTGTGTAATCAGGGCGTCGATGAAGTATATATAAACACCCTGGAAGAAATCTACAGGGGATCAACTGCTACCATAGTGCTTCAGAAAGAAAGCAACAGAATACCAATCAAGAAGGGTGTAAGGCAGGGGGGCACAATCTCTCCTATGCTATTTACCGCGCGCTTACAGGAGGTTTTCAGAAGCCTGGAGTGGGAACAGTTAGAGATAAGAGTTAATGGAGAGTACCTTAATAACCTGCGCTTGGCCGATCACGTTGCATTGCTGAGTAACTCAGGGGACGAATTGCAACTCATGATTATGGAGTTAGACAAGGAGAGCAGAAAGGTGTGTCTTAAAATTAATCTGCAGAAAACGAAAGTAATGTACAACAACCTCGGAAGTGAGCAGCGCTTCGATATAGGTGATAGTGCAGTTAAAGTTGTAAAATACTATGTCTTCTTAGGGCAGGCAATAACCGCGAAGCCGAACTACGAGATTAAAGTAATTAGAAGAATAAGAATGGGGTGGAGCACATTTGGCAAGCCCTCTCAAATTATGACAGGTAGATTGCCACTATCCCTCAAGAAGAAGGTATATAACAGCTGTGTCTTGCCGTTACTTAGCTACGGAGCAGAAACCTGGAGACTTACAAAGAGGGTTCAGCTTAAATTGAGGACCACGCAGCGAGCAATGGAAAGAAAAATGGTATGTGTAACCTTAGGAGACAAGAAGAGAGCAGGGTGGATTAGGGAAAAAACGGGGGTTAAAGATATTATAGTTGAAATCAAGAAGAGGAAATGGACATGGGCCGGGCATGTAGCGCGTAGACAGGATAACCGCTGATCATTAAGGGTAACTAACTGGATTCCCAGAGAAGGCAAGTGGGGTTAGGGGGAGACAGAAGGTTAGGTGGGCAGATGAGATTAAGAAGTTTACGGGTATAATTTGGCAGCAGCAAGCACAGGACCGGGTTAACTGGAGGAACATGGGAGAGGTCTTTGTCTTGTCCTGCATCGGACGTAGTCAGGCTGATCATTATATATATATATATATATATATATATATATATATATATATATATATATGCATATATATACCCTACTGAAACATTCCGTATGATGCGGGACTTCCGCATTTCATGAAGACATATGATGATGCGGACTCAGCATTTTATGGAAAGTAGTATCATGTGGAAGTGTTACGGCACTCCGCATTTCCTGGAAAGACGAATCATGCAGAAATTACTGAAATGTGTGCATGTTACGGAAAGCAACATCGTGCTTAAATGAAATAGCTGCGCGCATCAGGTGGAAGGCAACCCGACGTGGCAATTGAATGGACATTCACGCGTGTAAACTTCTGAATATTGCACGAATTAAGAGGATATAGGAAAAATGATATTTTTGATGGGTGAACAAAACTATAGTTTTCAAAGAAACAAAAGTATTAAATATACTGAATTAATACGCTGTATGTCATATTCTAGCTGCATATTCAAATATTGTAATATATTAATGCTGTGTCGTATGTTAATACATACAAAGATATATATATATATATATGTATGTATATAACCTTAATAAAATTAGTTATCAAATAAGGAAACCACTCACAGCAAATCAAGAACAGTCTCAATACTGTATGTTTTATATGTCCATTCTTTTAATATTTAGTATTCACGTTTGAGCTAAGTCTATCACCATTTCTCAATGTTCACAGCCTTGAAATGAGGTGACCCAGCACCATCATTTCACAAGTTAGATCAAAGTGCAACAAGAATCTTAAAAAAATGAAAAATTTTATCAATCAATAAAAATTACAAAATGCGTGCTTTTGTCGATCTGAGCTTCAGCACATTGAGGAGATCAGCAAGATGCCGATTTAAATTTTTGCGATGCTGTGCATCCGGCACCAGGCTTGCCTGAGCCCGGAGGTGCTCTTCGTAGGCATCTGCGTACAATAAATAATAAAGGCATGTTATGTTACATGCACATGTAAGCAACACAGTTCACATGCAGATGAAATAATACACAGTGTGATGCTGAAAAATAAACGCATGCATCGCCCCTTTTTGTGAGTGAATACAAGAGGAAAGTGAATAAATACCTCTGCGTGCAAGAAAAGGTAAAAGCATGCCTATCGCATAGAAAATAACTAGGTGGTCCCAACTATTTTGAACGTTATGTACACTGTTATCAAATATCATTACAAAACAAGGAAATGTTTACCGGATAATAACCTAAAAATTTAAGAATTGCAAGTGAAAGCAATAAATGTAATAATTAGTGCTGTGCACACGTACGTTTACTGCCATTAAAATTTGCAGTTTCTCTACAGTTATGGCATCTTGCACAGTTAAGGCATCTCGCACGAAGGCTCAGGTGAACAGCAGTGGAAGGCTGCCATGCTCAGCTAAAAGCCCACACTTCAGCAGGCTATCCCGAGCTGTTAGAGTTGCTTCATCCTGTCGCAGCCCCTTTCCTTAAAGATGGGATAAAGTTGTTTCTCTCTCTCTTGTAAACACTGTGACTTACGCAGCATGCAGCTATGCAGCATGCAGATGCTAATGAAGCTGCATGGCACCAAGAAGCAAGAGAACAATTAGCAAGTTTTAGAATTAATCACATCATACCCAAAAATATTTAACTCTTCGAATAATGAAATGCAGTTACTATCACCACCAATCTTTTTTCTAGCGTATTCAGAATATGAGAAAACGTCATTACACTGCACACAGCTAGATGTGCAGTTTCAATAAAAGCATGATTAAGGCATCACAAAGAGACAACTAATGAGCATATATTCAAGACCAGTGGCATGGCCAGTGGCATAGTGGACCCACGCCCCCACCCCCCCTTCCCACAAAAAATTGCAGCTTATGCCCTTGTTCAAGACATAATAGAAAGTGTGAACAGCATATCGTAAATTAAAAACTTTCTACAACAAAAACAATTTTTGATGTGATCTTTGGCCACTGGAATCAAATTCATGACAGCCTTGGAAACTCGAAGAGTCACAAAATTTTGTACATTCATGAACACTCATATGATATATCCAATAAAAAAGTTGACTCTAGGTAATAATAAATTACTTATTCAAGTGTCTTTCAACACCACTATGCTCAATCAGCACTGATGATATAGCAGTGCAAAAGAGCAGAACACTATTGCAATTTTCAAAATCACATTCTTAACAAACTTCAGAAAAAAAAAGCTAAAAATATGATTTCTTAGGATGCCACCTTCATGCTGGATTGAGAGCATATGCAGTCGCCAGCAATTTATTCACAGCAAAAAATTTGGACACACTTGTTTAGTTCAGTGCCTTTGAGTGGCATCACTATTCATTCTATTGAAATAATACATAGCTATGACCAATAGTTTTGAATGTCACACAGCCTGCCGTTTGATTTTTCCCTGAATTGGCTGCACGATCAAATGCAATGTTCAATGCCATGGTAAGTGATGTCTGCATTTCGCCAGGCTGCCAGCACTAAAATGTGCTGGTAACGACTGAATAGCTGGTGCCAAAATCAATGCACTAGTAAAGATGGCATTCACGTGGCAATAGTCAATCAAAGGTTAAGCCAATCGAAGGTCAAGCCGTTGTTGGCTGCAGGTAATGGTTGTAGTATTGTTCATTTAGTCATTACTAACCAGCTGTCCTAAAGTTGTTTGTAGGGCTATGCCTAATCAATTGTAAAATATTTCAGTCTTTCTACTGCATAAACTGCTTCAAAAGTAGTCAATTTCCCCTGAAGTTTGTTCGTAAGCACCTAAACATACATAACACTATTTCAAATCCTAAATGGCTCTTCACAGTCCACCGACATTATTTGCAATAACATTTACCTGCTAGTATACTACTTTTTCACGAAAATTAGTGCACATCATGTTACATGCTTGGAGTGAGGTGTGTTGTTGGTATGCCACTGAATTTACAGCTCATAAAGGTCACGCTGAACTGCACAATAAAATTGCAAAATACTACATTAATCCAAAAATAACACATTTTTCTATGGTGATTTAATGACATTGTGAATTACACACGACTGACAGTTCTTTAGAACAAAAAACAACAAAAACAGGCTTACTCCTTAGGGCATCCAACTTCCTTGGGGTCAGTGCCCGCTTCTCCACGCTCGGAGGACCGCCCTCCTTTTGAAGGAATGGCGACATGGGGTGCCCGTTATACTTCTGTTGTAAAGGCTGTGGACACCCCATATCGCCTTTGCAGCTTCCCTTAAAAAAGAGAATCCTTCGGCTGGGCCATCAGGTGTTCCCACCTTTCTTGTGGTATGCTTATACCATGGCCTAGGTTTCTCTGCATAAACAAATGAACAGTGTCCTAATGCTGAGAATTCTGCAAGCAACACCAGTGGTGCAAGATCATTTCAATGTTCGTTGAAAAAACCGAGCTTCTTGCCAAAAATATTTTTGATACAGAAGTAGAAAATTAGATCGGACATGTATGAAAACCTGGAAATTGCTCATTCCAAAACTATGCAGTAAATAAAATGTCATAATTTCTGAGCAGTTCAGAAAACAGATGCCTATAACAGGCCAGAGGCAATCTTTATACCCTGAACAGAAAGAGGGGAAGCAGGTCATCGAGAACAAAAATGGGGAGGGGGATTCACACTTTGAAAATGCTTTTGCATTTTGCCACCACTGATGCACCAGCATTTTTCACAAGTCTTAGATCAGTATTTCAGCTGATATCATCAAGCTAAACTTCTAGCAATGGGCGCATCAAAAACGGGCCTTGTTGCTGTACGTTATACATCCTCTACAGCAGCCACCTCAGTCCGATATGAAAGAGCTACGCTTTTGCTAGAATATCCTCCCGCACTTACTACACTAGACTCCAAAATCACACCACGGAGATAAACTTATCAACACTGATGCCAACCGGAATTTCAATTGCCATGGCAACTGTTATCAAGAGGGCCTACTGAATATCTGTCCCATACAAATACGTAAGAGGAGATGCGAGTCGAAAAATCACGTTTTTAGCGAAATTTCTCGTATTTCTGATTTTTATTGCATTGTAATCTTCAAACCTTCTTCTTTCATCTGTGAAAATTTCAAAACTAAATTCGAACCGCAAAATGCAAAAAAATGTGTATGAAGTCATCGCGGTGGCTCGAAATTTCGTGAATTTGCGCCGATATTGGCCATCTTTGACTGCGCGCTGCTCCCCGTCGCAGTGCCGCCGGCCATCGCGATCGGTTGGGAAAGTTGCATCCGGCCTTCTTTTTACAGCTCCGACGACCACCAGTTTCGTACGTGGGCAAAAAAAAAAAAAACCGAGGCCTTTTTATCACGTGGTTTGAGCGGTTTGAAACGCGCGGCACCCTAAGCCGCATCGCCATTGGCTACCGAGTCATTGTCAGCTGTGTTGGTGGCGGCCATCGACATTTGGTCCGTCTGCTTTCCTGCGCGTCTACGCATATTTCCGCGATGACAAGCCCGAAAAAGTGCAACGTGAGACCGCAGAAGCTTCGAACCAAGCACAAGTTCAAGGGAAGGCGGCGTAAAGCGCCCCTAACGATGGCGACGAATGAGAACGCGCCTACGTGTGCTAGGCCTGACGGCGGCATCGACGAGTGCGCGAGCGACAGTGGCTGCGATGAAGGGATTGACGCTGCGCTTTCTTTCGTCAGTGCTTCGGAAAAGAAGCTCGGCTTCTTCGAAAAAGACGAAAGACAGCGGGATGAGGTTTGTGCAACGACAGTTTTGTGCAACACCCTCTTGCTGACGGCACTTGTGGCAGGTGCGGCAAGCCCTGCTTGCGGTATTCAAAAACTTGCCGTTCGGGAGCCGGCAGAAAAGCGCAAGGGACTTTCGTCGCTCCTCGAACTTCATTGCGAAAACAGCGAATGCTCAGCGACTGTTCTTTCGTGCTCCTATACGTCACTGAGTGTTACGGCGGATGGCAGCAGCCGAGTGAGCCAACGGTACGACAGTGGGAGCTCCCGAGATAGTTTCGCTGTAAATGTGAAGGCGGTGGTGGCTGCACGCGCTGTCGGCATTGGGCATGAGCAATTGGCAAGATTTTGCTCCATTATTGGACTCCCAAAGCCAATGCACCACCGAGGATTTTTTTCGATAGCAAAGAAGGTGCACACCACTGCCATGGCAGCTGTGAGTGAAAACTTGCGCCGATCCAGAGAGTTGACGAAAGAAGTAGCAGGCGAAACTGATGTGGCTGTTATGTTTGACGGCACTTGGCAGAAGAGGGGCCACAAAAGCCACAATGGGATTGGCACAGTTATCTCCTTAGATACTGGCCTCTGCTTAGACTTCGAGGTCATATCAAATTACTGCCTGACATGCAGTAGGCACAAGGATATGGGCCCAGACGAGGAAGTGTGGCAGGCATTCCATGGCCCAGTCTGTGAAAAAAATGCAGACTGTTCCTCCCATGCCATGGAAACGGAGGCTGCAATGCGCATTTGGCAGAGAACATTGACTTATGACACCCCACTGCATTTCATGACATTCTTGAGTGATGGTGACAGCAAAGCATATAGTGCAGTTGCAGAGTCAAAAGTCTATGGTGCTGTCAATATAGAAAAAGAAGACTGCACTAATCATGTGGCCAAGAGACTTGGCACCGCGCTACGGAAGCTGCATGTGCCATTACCACGAGGGCAGAAAATGAAAGAGCCAGCCATTCAGAAGCTCCAAACATACTACAGTTAAACCTCGTTATAACGAAACCGATATTTCGTTATAGCCGTAGCGGGCATTTACCGCAAATATTATGCACTGTACTTACCCCAAAAAAATAGCGGGCGAAATAGCATCCCGCCGCACGGTGGTAGGCAACAAAATAACCGCATTCCCAAATAAAAAGGAAAAAGTCATGCACCTGTTTTAATGCACTTCAAAATACACAGCTTGCATTTCAGGCAGACTTAGCTGCAAAGAAGTCCGTAATTGGACGTTGATGCATCTTTCTGATGCGAACGATGGCTCGCTCAGCTGCGGCCGCAATGTTCAAGCCATCTTCGCCGCCCTCGTGAGCGCCGAAGTAGCGGCGCAGTACGTCCGCCGCGTCTAATGCCTCTGACGCCGTCGGCACGTTTGTCTCCTGTTCGTCGACAGAGTCATCGTCACTGGTTTCGTTACGATCACTGACAGCGCGCACAATATCGTCATCCAGGAGCTGCTCCGTTGCCACCACTTCCGAGTCCGCACTCACACAGTCGCAAAACGACTCGCTGTCAGGCACGACACGGGCGTCACGAAGTGCCGTCCATGATGCAGCGACTTCGTCTGATGTGGCAAAACCGTCCGGCACAGTGGGCTCGTCTGATGGCTCATCGCTGGCGTCTGGTGCAACGGCAAATGAGGCGTGTCAAAAGCAGTTTGCGATCGTGGTCTCCGATTCAACGACTCTTATCATAGCCACCTTCTGATTTAGCGTTATGCGCTTTCGCTTCCCGCCTGGCGCATTCATGTTGCTGGAATCACGAGCGCAGCACGATAAAAGAAAAGGCGGAAGCGGTCGAAAAAGAGAAGAAACACGCACGCAAAAGCAACGCGGCTCACGTCGGCGAGCGACAACACTTGCAGAGAAAGTGACTGTGAAGAGAAAGGGGCAGAAGGGGCGCTCTTTTGCGCTGCCCTCTAGGAACCGGTTACTCAAGGGGAAGGGGGTATGTAAGATTATGAAGCGCGCCTCAGCACCATGAGAAAGGGGAGAAGAAGAATATAAAGAAGACACAAAAGAAAAGAAAAGGGCGAGACATTCGCGGAGCTGCGGAGCGCTCCGTTGTCGGTGGTAGCCAAGCGGCGCACGTGCAGCGACCTCTCCTCCGGAAACAGCGCGTGCCGTCTGCTTTGCGCGTGTTGCTGGAGGGCGCGTGGCGGGAGTTTTGAACTGCTAAATACAGTTCTCAAATTCGCGTTCTCAATTCGCGCCGTCTCAAATTCGCGTTGTGCACTGTCGTGACATCGGCTCAAAATTTTACTTCCTAACAAAATTTGTTCGTTATATCCCATAACAGGCAAATTTTGCCTCGTTAAAACGAGGTTTTGAATACATTGGTTTGTATGGGGACTTTCAAGGAGAATTAGGATTTGCTCGTTATATCCATTATTTCGTTATAGCCCGTCTCGTTATAACGAGGTTTAACTGTATCAGATTGCCATAACAAGCAACAGGGGGAGTGTACGGGATATGTACACTGCAGTATGGGCTTCATACTTCCACTCATGCTCTACTGACAATGCTGGCAGCCACAAGTTTTGCCCTGCAGGAACAGAGTCGTGGTGCAAACATCAACGCGCTGAAGCACTTGGTGAACCTGCACCACGCAACACACCTCTCCTGACAAAAGCACAGGGATTGGCTGTTTTGCCCATTTATAAGCGGCTAACGGAAGAGAAGCTCCTTGCTCGATGCATCAAAGGGAAAACCCAGAACGCATTGGAATCCCTGAACAGCAAAATTTGGCTACTTTGCCCCAAGACTAAGTTTGTCTCCCGAATGGTTGTCGAGACTGCCGCAGCTATGGCAATTCTGTGGTTGAACAAGGGTCATGCTACTTTCGGGCACATCCTGGAAGAGCTCAACATACTGCCATCTAGAGATCTAGTTACTTTCAGTGATTCCCGCGATGCAAGGCGCATCAAGAGAATGTCCGAGCGTCTGACAGCAGAAGCAAGGGCCCACCGTCGTCGTGGAGTGAAAAGGGCACGGCTAGAAGAGAGTGCTCGCAAAGACCGTGAGGGCACAACCTATGCTGCAGGACAGTTCTAGTAACTTGCAGTGCTTTTCAAAGTTCTGTTGAACATTATGGCCAAAGATTATGCATTTCTAACAACTCTGTGATAAAAAAAAAGGTTTCAAACTTTCAAATGCGTTTTTCTCCTTTTGCAGTTTTGTGTGATCTGTGCTTCTTATACACGCTAGTTCGTATGCTTAGAATTATCATACCTCTATGAAATTTTGCACATAGCATGATGAAGGCCCATCGAGTGCAAGTATCGATTCAGATTGTCAGTGCTGCTTGATTATGTTTTTCAAAAATTACATAACATTGAAAGCCCTTGGCAACTAGAGCCATAGTAAATTTTTCTATTTTATTATTGTATTTCACCTTTTTACACACAAAATTTATATAGTTTTTTGCACTCTACAGTTCCAAAGGATCATAGTCAGCTATATCTGCAT